TTAAGGAAGAAGGACCTTACCACTTCTGGGAGCAGCCTAGTTGAGAGGTCATGGATGGCTTTGACCACTATACATATGGATGACAGAAGGAATATCACCCCCAAGATGACACAGGCTCTGCAAAGAAACAAAAACATGGAGAATCTTAACTGAGAGATGTCTTCCTGCTGATTTACACAATGACAGTGACAATGTGGCAGTGTGACCCAACCATAAGTCGCCACACTCTCACAGTGGCCACCCACAGTCCCAGAACTGATACTGAATCATCTCCAGGAGAATACAGTCCACAGTCTTATCACCAAATCAACCCCATTTTGGAAAGGGGCTCACCAACCTGCATAATCTCACAGCATCCCATGAATGCTGGCATGGAAGGGCCTTCAAGGCCATGAAATCCACCCCCCGGGCCTGGGAACTCAACATTCCACTCCTCCAGCTGGAGGGTGTGGAGTTTAATACCAAAGCGTGGAGGCTCTGGCAGGAGACATCCCGAGCCCTGCCATTTAACATGGTGCTTGATCTCGGTCAAGATACTGAACTTTCAGCCTCTATTTTCTCACCGCCAGATGGGAATATTTCCTATCTAAAGATGAAATGAGAGAATGCACAGGCATAAAAAAGTAACCCATTAATGTCAGCTTAAACAAAGGAAAAGGAGAGCCCACCTTTCTGATAGGATGGATAGACACCTTCGGATTTTCCCATAGGGAAAAAGGAGGGATGATTTGGTAATGACAAAAGACAGTGTTCAAGGCAAGAGGGAGCAATTCTTTAAAAAAAAAATGAAAGGCGGCAGACTGAGGTCAACCATGACACCCAGCACAGGAGGTGGCAGGAGCAAGTCAGGGCAAAGGTCAAGGATAAATCAGAGGACACACAGCCAAGAGGGTGGGGTGGGAGCTGGCAAGTAACTCCTTAGGGGCTCGGGTGTGGGAGGTGTCTCTGGCAAGCCAGACACAACTTGGGAAAAAGGTGGAAAGTCAAAGTAAACAAGCAAATGATGATGGCAATACAAGGGCCAAAACAGCAAATGAAAATGAAAAGAGAAAATACAACAATGACTGCACTTAGCCCTACATCATTCCTGTCTCAACCTCATGTCTCCAATGTTTGGCAGCCTCCTTAGCCCTCTTCCAGCTATGGAATGCAAATGATAGCTAAATGATAGCAAATACTATCATTTTTCATGATCCATGTTGGGTTCCCTTCTCTGTACTAACAGAATGTCCCAAACTGCCCCCATAACATGAAGTGGTACCTACTTAAAATCCTAAAAACCTGTTCCCCCAAACCTAGATGTCAAAAATAAGCTGGTAAAAAAAAAAAAAAGCTGGTAAACAAGGCTGCTTGGAGTCCATATAGGAGGCTTCTACACATTCTAGCTGTAGGTTTTACTCTTTGAAAAACACAGAAAAGAAGGGATCATTTCAGGCAAGGGAAAAACACAAAAGAACATAGAGATACAGGAAAGGTAGTGAATGGGCTGGGGCTCCCAGTACAGGCTTGAGCAGAAGGAAATCCTGGCCCTGCACACCAGATCATCTGCCATGGGTGCCATACATCCTCATAATGAGCCTGGGGGAAAATGTACACTCAAGGGGGAGACAAAATCACTCAGGCAGTAAGTACACACCAATTCAGTGGCAGGAGTGCAGAACACCCACTCGAGGTAGTGAGCCTGGGGCTGGCAACCACGGTCCTGGCGGGGCAGTGGGGGTGAAGGGGGCGTCAGGAGGAAACGAGGCACACCTACTGGAAGCCCTTTAATGACAAGATCCTGGAGCAAGACCAAAGAATCCCAGGGCATGGAGGATCAATGCTCCCAAAGCAGCCAGCTCCTGAGTCCCAGCTGTGCCATGGGGAAGATGGCTAAGAAATAACCATTTCTACCTGCAAGTGAATGGGACGGTGAGAGGTCCATTACAGGAAAAGAGCCTTAAAACCAGGAGAGGCCTCCAAGGTATGTCTTGTGATGTGTTTTTTTTTTCTCCATTCAAACAACTCCTGAGTGACTAGCAGAGACTCTCTCTGATTTACCCTTTCAGATCAATTCAACCACTAACTCGGTGCTTCTCAACCCTGCTGGCACACTGCACTCCACTCACCTAGGGAAATGTTTTTTGACGGTTGCCCAGGGACCACTCCAGTTCACTTTTATCAGAATCTCTGGGGTGAACCTAGGCATGCGTATTTGTTTAAAAGCTACCCAGGCAATTCCCATGTGAAAACTAGGGCTGAGAGTCCCGGCCTAGACTCAGGGAGGCCCTGTCTTCCGGGAGCTCCACTGTGGGGGTAAAAAGCCACAACTCTCTGGAAGGAAGCCAGGGAGGGAGCCACCATCCCAGCTGGTGAGGAAGGAATAGGGTGTAATGGTTCCAGAAAGGCTCGCAGTGTGTCTGTTCCCCAAGCAGCTTCCTCCCCCTAAGACAGGAGGGCAGACAGCACTTGGGTGTCAGACCTTCTACAGATGATTTATCACAATATCCTCAAAAAGCCTCCATCTCCACACTCCTAAAGGCGAAAAGGAACAAATGTCTGAGCAACTTCCTGACAGGTTAGAGCGGTGCTATAGGAAGCGCCTTCCCTGGATGGCTGCAGGCACACCTCTGTAATGCCCAGAAATGGATTTGGATTTTGCTTACATTTCCTAAGGAGATGAGTAAGTAAGTATAAAGGATGCAATGGCCTCCTTACATATTATTTTTCTTAAATATCTTTAATCAAAACCATATGACAAACCCCCTGAAGGGCAAGAACCACATTTGTGTATCTCGGTGCCTGGCACATAGCAGGTGCCCCGTATGCATCTGTGCAGTGACTGTGATCATTAACTGATTAAGCAATCACTAGCTAATTTGTGCATTTCCCCCCATGGAGCTTCAGCTTACCAAGGGATAGGAAGAGGAAAGACACTCTCATTCTTTAGCCTAAAAGCCTTTGGAACAGCCCACATCATAAACAACTCTGAAGTGTAATGATAATCAAAAGAAACTGATGATATGGATTATTGGAGTTGAATTTTAAGGAACTGTAATCATAACTTCTTCACAAATATACCTACGAATATGCCCCAGATGTTTTTCAAACCTATTCTCTTCTTCTTTTAAATGTGTTGCAAATTAAAAACCAGTCACCCTTCCTTCAACACTGCTGGGATCCTATGTGGTGGAGCCGCTCCCCCAGCCTAGAGCAGCTATTATTAGCAGAGGGTGTGATGCTATTTTTAAACATTTTGTTAATAATATATTGTGTTTACACAGCAGCTTTCTCCTCAGGCACTCTGAGTTCTGCACATCAGCTCATAAATACCCTGGAGGCCACTCACCAGACCTGGGTCTTTGTTTCTCTGCTGTTTTATGGGTTAGGAGGGGGAGAGGCATGTTCCCTAGACACAAGTAGCCAAAATGGGGGAGTCAAAGATTAGGAGGTTTGACCAAGGTCACCCCAGGAATTTAAAGTCCAGCCAGAAATACAACCCAGGCCACTGGTCTCCTGATTCCCTCCCAGTGGCCAGTCCCGGTCACCCACCTGGCCACTCAAAGGCTCTGGGCATCCACATCACATCCTCACACCACCACTGCCCTGGGGCTGCAGCAAGATGTTTCCAAGATGAAACAAAGATCTGGGTTAGGAGCAAATATTGCAAAGAGGGTTGCTTCTGAATCTGCGAGTGTACACTGCTTCCTGGTCTGGGGGAGGCAGGCAGGGGAGCAGCAGAGGTAACCCCTAAACCAGCACACCCCGGCCTTCCCCTGCAGCGGCTGGCCTGGCAAGGAAAGAGGGCAGCCCGTGGGCCTGGTAGCATGGAGAGGTCAGGTCACTGGAATGAACGCATACTCCTCCCTCCTGCATAAACCCCAGAGGAGGAAAACCTTCAGAGTCAGAAACAGGCAAATGACCCACCGCCCCTTCAGCATAATCCCCCACTAACGGAGGCTGAAGCCGAACTTAAGTTCCCACAGAACCAGTGGTTGTCAAAGTGTGGGGCATGGATCAGCAGCATCAGTGCCACCTGGGCACTTGCTGGGGGAGCCGATCCTCCAGTCCTCCTGGACCCACGGAGTCCGAAACTGTGGGGATGGGGCCCAGTAATCTGTGTAGTTCTGTGTTTTAATAAGCCCTTCAGTGATTCTGGGACACACTCAAGTTTGAGTCCGTATTAGCCTTGTTAAAAACATTTAATGTCTGAAAGAAGACCAGTAAAATCTAAAGAAATGGTTAAAGCCACTGGGACCTTTTTTTTTTTGCTGCTTCTAAAAACTGCAAAATGCTACTTGTGCACAGTACTGTAAATCTATGAATAAAGCAGGAAGCATTAATTTTTGCCTCCAAAATTCTAAGAGCAAACCTAAGGAAATATACTCTCACATCCAAAATGATGTCATCTGAACGTCTGGTCCCTTATCAGTTGTAGTTTACAAACCTGTGGTTCATATTAATAAAGTCCAAGTCTTATTTCAATTCTATTTTCTATCAGACCCAGAAGGCCCAAAAAGACAGTCTTCTTCTAATCACCCCCTAATTTACAAAAGACCTGAAACACAGTATCCCTGGCAATTAACCAGTCAGTCCCTAGCTTAAAGAGTAAATGTTTTGTTATTTTTCACCTTCATGTCCAAGGTACGTCTAATCTGGGACATCATTCAGATGTGAAATAATGAAAAATAAAACAAAGGGAAGGAAAAGTGATCAACAAATGCCTATGGGCCACTGCTCTTCCACTGTAATGGCAATGCCAAACATTTCACTCACAACTCCCATCACTAGCACACCCACGCCCCCTCTACTGCAGGGCTCCTTCCCCTCCTCCGCTCAACTATCCCAGGCTCAGGACCTCTCCTCTCTCCACCCACACCCCTGTCTCTGTCCTCCAGCTTTGACCACCCACGTGCTGCACTGTGAACAGGCTGTGGTGTAGCGGAGGGTGGCCTGCACCAACGTGGCCACTCAGGCCAGAGCTCTCCACCCAAGTGGCCCATACCCTCTCCACAGTAAGAGCATCCATCTCCTCAACACAAAACCACTAAAAACCTCTTCTTACTCAACAAATGGCCCTTTGCTTATCTTTGCAATAATACACACGCTGACAAAAACCCACTCAAGTAAAATCGCAT